TTTACCTTGCTACGCGTGGTGGCGCGGCGGTTGTTGATATGGCGAGCGATGTTGGTGGGTTTGATAAGGGGATGTTGTGGGATGTACAGCTGATTCGGCTTGGTGGGGTTAAGCTGGTGGAGGCGAGTCCGCTGGATGTTGTTTCTGATGGTAGTGTAGATCTTGTGAAGGCTGGTCCTGTGGGAAATGTTGATCTGTTTGGGACGGAGAATTGGAAGGAGAAGATTCAGAAGTGGGTTTGGAGTGGCGATGATCGGAATGTGAAGGCTGTCTGGGTTGGGGGAAGGTTGGTCCATTCAAGGGTTTGAGTGATGAGCATTGTCTATGCGTTTTTCTTAGATCTTTTTCTACATATGATATCTAGTCTATATTATGACATCTTCTGTGATTTACCTTCAAAAGGTGATGTGACTACAGTGTAGTGATGCGATTGAAGAGGGAGAGAGTTGTCAATTCCTAAAGGGCAGAATGCCCAACTATCTAGTTATGGGGGTTGGTGCCTGCCGCACCGGGCTGATGGTCAGGTGACCACCATGTCCAACAAAAGGCGTTATTACAACAGGAAGTTAAGTGATATTGGAAGATACGGCGATTCGCATTCTTGTTACTTAGAAAAATTTCCCCTATGCTCCTCTGTGCGTTCCAAAACTCAATCGTTTGTCCCAGGTATTTACTGGAAGAGCTCCACGCAATCGAAGATCTATTGAGACAGGTAAGCTTACATCGGAAAGACCAGATAACCAGAAGGATACTCACAAAGTTCGGGCTCAGGTAAGTGTCTCCAGAGCTACCAGAAGCAACGCTGATGGTGATCTAGGCCGGATTAGCATCATATCATCTGACTGGGCTCAAAAGTCCTTACAGTGTTAGTTCCAGCGACGATAGTTCCAGCCGGAATCGAAACGTCGTAAACCTCGCCAAACCCTCTATATGCACCGCGAGTGACGCCACGGGAGTTGAGGTTAGTCGGGGCAGCCGGGGTGGCGCCGGAATAGCCGTTGAACTGTGTAAAAGTTAGATACATGCTAATAGTGTAGAAAGTGAATGCGCTTGAACATACCACAACCTGGGGCCGGCCAGACGCAAAAGAGAGGGTTGTGCCAATTCTCAGCGTCGCAGCTCCGGTCTGCGAAGAAGATGCCGTGAATTTAATCGTCAAAGGTGAATTGACCGATTTGAAGAGGGCCATGGGGAAAGAAGAGACTTGAGAGCTGCCGACTGTGTAGGTGGTCGGGGACCAGGAAGACATGCGAGTGTCGGAGGGATGCATACGGAGCTGGTTGGCCGCGTTGAGGAAGCCGTTCGGTCTATAGGCAGTCAATATCGGAACAATTATGTGGGCTAAAATCAATGAACTTACGTTCCATCCCAGTCTCCAATCTTGAAGACTGTCGTTCCGGTCTTCACAGACCCGGAGATACTCTTCGATGTGGTTGATCCGGCAGTAACAGTCACTGACGAGGTGGCAACGACATATTCGCCCTGGTAGTATACCATGGTGTAAGTGCCGGGCTTCATAGCAGGGGAGGTGAAAGCTCCGGAAGACGAAGTGTAGGTCCAGTACTGTGCGGCAGAGTTATACCTGTCTTGGAGTTAGATATGTACTCATCCAGGTATTGCATTGGACCTACCAGTGAACCACCCATTTGAAAGTCGAGTCAGCCCCGGTTGCAGTACCCGTAACATAGCCTCTCGCAGATGTGGCGACGTATCCCTTGATACTGAGATCGGCAAAGAACGATGTGTCAAGGGTGGAACTGGGGGTACCGCTTCGGCTGAAGACCATCGAGTATGGGCCGTGCAGGCCCTGGCGGTAGGTCTCGGTCTGAACGTGTCCGGAGTTCTGTATAGAGTAAGAGGCTGTTATTGATTGAGCGACAGTTTCCACATACCATGTACCAGTATAGGCCAGTATAAGAACCAACATTGTTGGTGTTGATATCACTGGTGCATGTTAGTCTGGATCAAGTCATGCTGGACGAGTAACTTACCGATGGAAAGGTCCGCCAGCAGATGTCTCATATTGATTTAAGATCATGCAGACACGGTGCGCGCTTCCAGAGACACCTGTTTGTGTTAAATCGACTCGCATCAGCCAGGGTAGAGGTGTTCTTACAGTGGATGTGGTCATCAATAAACCGTTCGCTCGAGTAGAACTTGCTTCGCGTTTGTCCACTAACCAAGAACTGATATGTGTTAGCTGTTTGTATTGAAGAAATGCTTCATAAAAAAACTTACCACATCCTCTCCCTCGACAACAGTGCCACCTGCAATATTAGAGACAACACCGAATGGCTCTTCATTCGGTAGCAAGGCTGAATTCAGGCGCGCGATATATCGAAGTTCTCCAATAGTAGGTTCTGAAAATAATGAGTATAAACAACACATTTGCGCACGAACAGCACTAACCTGCGGTTGTGTATGTAGCCATGTGAATGGTCGAATCTCCGTTGTGGACAACATAGTAGTGTGTCAAGGTGGATGTTTCGCAGGTCACCTTGATGTAGTCGCCTATATTGATCAGGATATTTTTCAACAGACGTCTTGTTTCTCAACTCACCACTCTGCGTGGCAGACACAGTTGCGCTACCAAGACCCGATCCGATATGAGACCCAGTCGACTGGTATTGAAGCTCGGATCCATAGTAATTGATCGAAGTAATGTCACAGTTTGTCCGGCTGACAGTAAATTTGAGTGGGTTTGTAGAGCCAGCATCAATCACATAGGAAGCAGTGCTAGTAGTGATTCCGAAGGCCGCGGATGCCTGCTTAGCCCAAAGTGCTAGCGAAGCAATGGCCAAGGACTTGAAAAACATCATGTCCAACGTGTATTGTAGAGAGCCTTTTCGTGTCCCACAATAAACGATCAAGGGCAGACAAGCAGCATATTATAGTAGGAGAGCACTTTTGTTTCTTCATGTTGAAACGCTCCATGTTAGAAGGTGGAGATTCGGCAGCGAACTGAAGCTCCGTTCCTGCATGAATTTGCCCATAGTTCCACCAATGCGCGACGTTTCTGGCTGCTTGGCAGCTGGATAATTACCATTTCAGGAACGGGCAATCTGCAAACTCGACACTAAGGCCGGTTGTTAAAAATAAGCACAAGGCCAGGGTACATGCAGCTCCTTGCCAAGACCCCCTGTAACTCCGTGTGGGGTGACGATTGTTTCAATCCCACGGAGCGTCTGTAGTAGTCGAGGAATCCGATATGTACTTGAAACATCTTGATGCTGTGATGGGTCCCGCCTTTATTTGATGGAAAAGAATCATTCCGCTTTCCGAAGTGCGGACTACTTTCGCCGAAAGGCCGAGACAGCATCGGGGATGTTATCTTGGAGGTGATTGGCGCATTCATCACTCAATACTTCCTAATGGAAAAAATAAGGAGGTGACTGGATATGCACTCAACCGTTTCAGAATGACTATTCCGTACAGGTCATGAGGTTCCTGAGAGTTCAAGATGATTAGTGGCCTTAGACCTCTGCCAAGAGGAAGTTGATGCCTTCATGTTTACCTAAGCACCTTTCTCGGGCAACCACCCTCTCTCTCGCTTTGCGGTCTACGGAGTATATAATTATTTTTGGCCTTTGGCATTTCTCTTGCCTTCTACGAACTGGGAAAAGTATGGGGTCGATCAAGAAGATATGTAAACCGTGATATTACGAAAGGATCATGGATAGCGTACTACACAGAATTATCACCGTTAAAGAATGATATTGAAATGACTCCCAGCCATCGTACACATAGTCAACGAAGAAAGAACGTGAAATCCCGAGACATTGAGTCATACAAACAGATTGTTCCAAAATAGAGAGTATTGGAAGCCACGAATAACAGAAAATTCACAATCCAGCGCAGCAAGTACCAAGGCAGAGGGTCGAGCCAGGTCAAACACGCTCTGAAGCACGGCTAGTAGTCGAGTAAGTTTATGTTCTAAGATGAAACTGTCGGGAAAGGATCTACGTACCTTTCCACAAACATGTCTGCTCTGATGGGCAGATCAGCCCTACCAGAAATCCCCACACTCGGTGCCCGGCACAATGGGTTTGTTGTTGCGACCTCCCCCTTTTGGTAGACATGGAAGACTATCAGGCGAGGCGTCTGGAATTGCGGCGGCCAAAACCATGCTGCATAAGGCGAGGATGCTACCAAGTTGGAAGTACTTCATCTTGTATAGAAGTAAAGTAGGATGATGTGGCGTGGCCGTTTCAGTACAGCAGCAGTTCGTCTCTTTATTTATATTCGTAATGAAGGCAAGATTGGTGACACGTCATAAATAAGCATAAGGATGTTTCTTTAAAAGGTCTCTTATTCAGACGGGGAGGATTGTCTATTGTGTCACTTTTACAGGTCGAGATCAGCGTTCTGTGAACCCCGATCTCCACAAGAACATGGAGTTGATTGGATGAGAAATCCTAAATATGTCCTGCACTGTGTTAACAAAGAACAATATCCCCTCGGTGAGCGAAAATCCGCTTGGCAGCTGTTACGCTTCTCGACGCCCTCCTGCCCAAGATGGGGCTCAATAGACATCGCCAGGTCATGTCTATGTCTGTCAACATCCTTTGTACTTGTCCGGCTTCCCCTTCGAGTCATGATCGCCCGGGTTTGCTATTGTGGTTAATAAGTAATTTTCATTTCTTTATGCTTGGGCAGCGATAGATATGCTTCCAAGGGTATACACTGTACAAAAATAGCGGCCCGCTTATGCGGCCTTGTCATATTTTCTGTATTCCTTTTTGTTTGTCTTTCTGGAATACAAATTTTGTTGATGTAGCCTTACTACCTAAGGCAGGATGGGACTTTCTCCTTTCTCTATCTCGGCCATTAGCTCAATTCAACATATGGTTCCTTCTCGCCTTCCCTTCCCTTCAGAACTAGGGTGAAGGGGGTAAATTTGCGTGCCAAATTCGAATCGGTGTCAATTGTCCGTGGAGTTGATTGATTATTAGGCCATTAGGAACGAGTAAGAACAAAAAAACAGTTAAATACTTAGATGCTCACAACCCCAAAATTCTCCGCATACCAATGTTCTCAATGACATAACCTCCTCCCAGTCTGAATACCCCCGGACCCTCCAATTTTGCTTCATAGCGTCCCATCGCCATTTCCGTCAAGAACGACCCAAGCTGTTCCGTTGGAGAATGCATCGACTTCATAAAGCACCGAATACCCGGGCCAAGCAACGCTACTCCAAGATTTGCAACAACTCCAGCCGTTGCACCAGATGGAATATATGGTTTGATGGCATCGTGCGTCGCCGGATCAACGAATGCAGGCCTCACGCTATCGACCCGAAAGGTCGGATTTTGCTCGGACAGCGTTCCAAGCAGCGCTTCTGTCTCGCCCTTTACTCTCGCAAATATCGGCGAGAATCGCCCAGGAGTCTGGGTGGCTCCTTCACCAGATACATGGATGAATCGGAAGGGATGATTTGATGGCTTGATTGTGGAAAACGCATTGGCAGCCGCCAGGGTATAATCCTTGGTTATCTTGACGTATTGTCTAGTGATTATTAGTTCTGATATCCACGTAGAAGTGGGATCTCTCGTACTCTTTGGCGACCTTAGTCTGGCTTATCCCTAGGGCCCAAACACATCCATCCGCATCTTTCAATTGGTTGAGCAGCTCTGGCTTGTATGATTCAAAGTCTGTGTGGGTGATGACATGTACTCGTGGATCTTTTGCGTCTTCTGCCATTCGCACGGGGCTTCGGCTCAGGATTGAGATCTTGGACACTGCTGCGTTTTTGAGCATGGCGTCGAGCACTGAAGACCCAACCAGCCCGGTGGCCCCTGTGAGGATAAGATGCATTTTGGAAATTGATGTAATTGATGTACGTGAGGTCGAAAGAGAGTCTAGTTATGGGAGAGCAATGCCGATTATATACCTCTTTATTTGGTCCGTTCCGAATGCTTAAATCCGCGAAAGGGTGATGCTGACAATATGCTAACTACATCCGGTTAGTACACAGGGGTGCTTTGAGTGTTCATTGGTTGGATTTAACAATGACCCACACTACTCCGTACCTTAACCCCATTTGGATGACGAGACGGGTTTACTGTTAGAGAAATGCTACCGACACGCGAAAATTGCTACCGACACATTACTTACTGTTATTATCACTTCAGCAACAGTTTAACATTATCCCCGGGCATCAGATAGCATGCCGCTATGCTGATGCTTTCCGCTTGCTTGCCTTGCCATCTTGGGGTATGTACTGGAACCGGGCGGGTCCAGCTCTCTTTCAGGGAGCGTGAGAGAAGGAAGTTAGTCGTGCCAGGGCATAGTTCATAATTCGCGTTGTGATATTTTGGGGATGACTCTGTGAGAAGGCAAGAAAAACCAACACACGCAATACCTCTCCATTTTGCTTCCTTCCTCCGTTGTAGTTAGCGGTGGCTGGGAGAAAGTTCATATTGCCTTTTCTGAGGCGAATGTTGTGATACTTCCCTGGAACCTCGTTACTGGGCGCATTTAATTAATCCAATGCTCTTCACTATCTAGCATATGAATGCAGTTTTCAGAATTGAAATATCTTCATTATTGGTAGAAGCCATTTGAATTACTCCATGGTGATAGTGTGATCTCTGAATAGCTTCATACTGACGGTGCAGTAATTTATCATTACATAATGAATCTAGTTTTAACTACATTAGGACTACCTCATTGTCCTTTGATTTCTACTCCGTCCGTACTTGTATTTGTAAAGAGGGAGAGAGGGAGAGAGCAGGTACAGAAGTGGGAGAGCCTGCCTTGGGGTATTTATGGGGCTGAGTATTTCTTATTCCTCGGATTGAGATCATCATGAACTTGTCCAAGAAGAAGAAGTAATATTTAACGAGTGACCAGGCGCTTTCGCTCTAGATTAATAGGGCGTTCCCTATACGAGAAGATCGGACAGGCTACACATCCAATGAGCAGCAAACACCCGAAATTTGGGATTCTTTCAGGCGTATAAAAGACGCGCACTACCCCGGGATAGTCTACTATTTTGAGACTGACTACGTTATAGTTCTATACATCTTAAAGCTATGTCCAACAAAGGAGAAACAAAGGAAACCAGTCACTCCACGAAGCCGCAAAAAGCGGCGATCTCGAAGCTGTCAAAATACTTCTCGACAACGGAGCAGACATCAACGTGGTAGACTCACTGGGCTCCTCGCCGCTTCACGCCGCAGCAGAGCAAGGCCACTGGGACATCGCCCGACTCCTCCTAGAAAAGGGCATGTCACCATGGGCCCGAGATGCCAACGATGCACTCCCTATCCACAACGCCGCAAAAGGCAGCCATCTAGAGACAGCCCGACTGCTCCTTGAATGCGACCGAGCGACAGGAAGTTCTTCCAACAAACGAGGCGAGACACCACTACACTTCGCTGCTGAAAGCGGAAACACAGAACTAGTTCAGCTCCTCCTAAGCTTCAACCCCTCGACAAAATCCTCCTCCCGTGGCGAAACGGCCTTGCACCGCGCCGCTCAGAACGGTCACCCCGAAGTCTGCGAACTTCTCATGCAATACTATGACGCCCATAAGCCGGGCTGGAGACTTCGCATGATTGGCGTGACGGCGCAAGTTAAAATGCAGGATTGGTGCCAGCATACGCCGCTGGTCTACGCTGCGAAAGAGGGACATGCTGATGTTGTTGATGTCTTTCTTCGCAGTAAGAGGGTCTCGCCCAAAGCACGGGATGGATATAAGGAGCTTCTCTTTCATGAGGCTGTTGAGGCGGGGAAATGCGATGTTGTCCAGGTTTTTCTCGATAATGGCGTCCTCGTTGATCTGAAAGGAGGTGATGGGAAGAGCTCTTCATCTCGCTGCTGATACTCGCAATATTGAGATGGCTCGTCTTCTGCTTGAGAACGGTGCTTCCACTAAGATTAAGGACTCCATTGGGTATACTGCTTCCCAGAGTAGCAGGGACGAGGAGGTGACTATGCTTATTCGGAATTGGGCTGATCAAGCTGCGGCTTCGGATCCTAACGGTAAGAGAGTGTCGCGCCCTCCGAAGGTGGCGGTAGCTGCACCCCCAGAATATGTTGCATGAGCTTTTAGATATCTTGTAGTCATTACACTTGTATTAATGTAGTTATGTCGTCTTGTTTCTGATATCAAGCTTAGGGACATATTGTTTTGAACACTTCAAAATTGCACTAGGATAGCAACTAGGAAATCGTGAAGCGTCAATAGACTAACAGTAAACTATTTAACGAGCAGTATATTCGCCATCAACTGGAAGACAAACTCCAGTCATCCAGTTGGCGTCATCACTTGCCAACACAACAGCTATACGAGCAATGTCATCGGGCGTTCCAGGTCCTTTCAGTGGATGGCGCCGGTTTAGGTCTTCCCAAGGAGTCAAGTTAGTAATTGTCTCTTTGAATATAGCTGTTTGGGTGTCTAAAGCTTTGTCAGTGAAAATTCAGCCAATCCTCAAACCAATTGACTTACAGCCAGGACAAATAGCATTAATATGAATGTTATTAGGGGCATAATCCAGAGCCATCTGCCTCGTGAGATTACTCACAGCACCCTTTGATGCACAGTATGATGCTAGCACAAGTATCAGCAACATTCAGTCAACAGACTGAGTTGGAACTCACGATTCTCCGGCCCACCAATCATACCCATAATTGAAGAAATGTTGATGATCCAGCCCCGGTCTCCAGAAGAATGAGGTTCTTGCGCCAGCATTTGAGTAAGAGCATATTTGCAACCCAGAAACACAGACTTAGTGTTAACACGCATCGTCGTGTCCCAGGTTGTCTCGTCGGTCAGATGTAGCACAGCAGGCGTGCGTGCCTCAATGCTGATCCCAGCATTATTGACTAGACTAAATAAATTGTCAGAAGGATAATCGAAGACCTTCATTATCAGACTTTCATACATGTCCACTCGTCCATATTCTTTCACAGCGACCTGGACCAAGTTTTCTATCTGCCTTGCATCCCCTACATCCGTCTTCACGAATTTCGCCTGACCACCATCCCTGACGATGAGATCGTGCGTTGTGATATTAGACTCCTCTTGGGATCGGGCAGTTGGTGTCAGGTCAGCGCAGACCACTTTTGCTCCCTCTTGGGCATAGCGAATGGCGATCGCTCGTCCTAGGCCGGATGAGGACCCGGTGACGATGGCTACTTTGTCTTGCAAGCGAGATGACTGCGACATGATCAGATACTTCCTTTGCGAGAGGGTGGTTATTCAAGAAATGGCATTCGTAGGAAGGGACGCCATGGCTTTATATGCTGGCAGGTGGTAGAGTTGGAAACTGGGCCGGAGTGCCCGTGGACGTCACTTGCTCTTCATGTAACAAAGATGACATCCTCTATTATTACAAATCGTCACACTCTGCAAGCCATAGTCGCAAATCGGGCCGAGTCCGATTTCCATAGCCGAGCAGCCTGGAGAAAGCGATGGGATGAGGGGCTTGATATAGGTGGAAGGCGTGCCGAGGCCTCGTCCGACTTTCTTTTTTGGGACACACAGTTGTCTTCTTTTATTTCTCTTGCCAGTGTACTCCAAGTGTAGCTTGATTTCAAATCATTATCCTGCGAATGATCAATTGAAAGGTTGGTACGGATACGATATACGATGTATGTTTGCCTTTCTTGCCTGTGGGTGAAATTGTGCTACCTTACACAGAGTTGATCGAAGCATGTGTTAGGCTCTGATTCGGAACAAATATTTGAATATCGAAGTTTAGATGATTATAAATTCGGGCTTGGGTGATTTATTAGGTGACCTTGTATATTCTAGTACCTGTACCTAGGTCTATAACCTCGTAGTTCTACCCCGCATAACCACCAGGATTCACCACACAATAACAACATTCATGATTCCTCCTCTTGCTTCTTTCGTATATCCGACCTTTGTATCACATTATGACTAGTCTCGCCAGTGTGCTATATCATATTTTTCTATAGTAAATCTTGAACTGGCTCACCGCTAGTCTTTATTAGTATAGAGACAAGAATATGCCTACACTTCATGTCGTTTTATAGTCTTTCTAGATGTCTTCTCTATGGACGACAAAAAGCATAAACCGTAAGACTTTCCGTGTATAACCTTTCGATTGGTGTGATATTGATGTATAAAATATACTCCAGCCGTAGCAGAGGGACGGGCCTGGTCCCGGAGCCCCGTGAAGAAGAAAAGCATGTGGAACAATCCTTCCATGTCAATCCAAGCCACAGTAAACAATCTTTGTTTCTACGTCGAGCGCAAAATTGGCTTTTCCAACTGGCGCAGACATTCCAGATCAACATTCCACAATTCCCACCGTTTCCAGACGTGATGCCGAGACAAGATAATATCATGAATTGAATCGGTAGAGAGACGGTGATGCTAATTAAACAATTACACACAACAATACTAAAGTCGGGATATTGTTCGGAGTCCGGTTGACCTGTTCGGAGTCCCATGGCCAATGATCGACTCCGATTTCAGACCTGGTTTCGGGATCCACCCCCAGTTACGGGGGTTTGGACGTCGCGTGGTGCTTGTTTTTAGATAAAACCAGATGCGGAAGTTTGTTGCTCAGTCTGAGACTAGAAAGTTAATTAATTGAATTCAATAAACACCACGGGTCTCAGGAGTTCTTCGCTGAATCTGTCGACGATCGCATTCTGCCGAATCGGGAAGTGATAGTCAACATGAGCTAGCAGGGAACTAACGCAATGCACAGTTATCACAGCGTTGCCAAGTGTTGATAGCAATCAAAACGAGGGGTAACTGGGGGAATTGGCTAATTAATTCGAGACATACACCTTATGCCGTGCTAGGTAGGTTACATCCAACTCAAACCCCCCAGAAATTAGACTCCGTGACCTCTCGCCCCGGGTCATACAGACGCAGCTACTGGCCGCACGCGATGGCCATGTCTCGGGTGTGCCTGATGGTGTCCACTCGTCGCTGATCCTATCGGGTGCCCCGAATGCGCAATCCACCTGTTCCAGATGACTGCGGCTTTGCGACAAACGCAACCATATTGTTCTTATCATATTGTTCTCATATAATGTCCCCTGATTCGCCTTGTCATTTTCGCGCTTGTATCCTATCTCCGTAATGCATATATATTCTGTAAGGGACCCGAGATAATCGAAAGCTATTCTCTATCCGTGTGTCCTTGGGTTTTTGAGAGACTCAAAAGGCACTGTCAATATGCATTTTTCTACTATCGTTCGGGGGACTGCGGTCCTGGCTGCGCTGTCTGGTACAGCTGCAGGAATTGTCACATCGTCGTTCAAGCGCGATCTGAAGCTTTCCGCTGAGCTCGGGGTCTATCCGGATATCCTGCTCAGTCAGAAGACCTCGGTGTATGCTGTTTCAAATGCCCAGCTTGATGTGGTTGTTGAGGCAGAATATGTTTCGGTATGTGTTGAGACTTTCCAATTTCTTGAAGACGGAGATTAATGCTGACGATTTGTAGCTCCCGATTGATCACAGTAACTCTTCGGTTGGTGATTACCAGAACCGCTATTGGGTATCCGAAGAGCATTACCAGGCAGGAGGACCGGTCTTCATATATGATGTTGGTGAAGGAAATGCCGAATCCTCGGCTCAAACCTTTCTGGGCAATTCGACCACGTTCTTCTATCAGTTGGTCAGGGATTTCGGTGGAATTGGTATTGTCTGGGAACACCGGTTTGTATCCTCTCCCCAGTGAAAGCTCGGACTCAATTAACACCAAGTAGATACTATGGGGATTCTCTTCCCTACAACGTCAGCCGGAACATGACGCCTGAGCATCTCCAATACCTCAACAATAAACAGGCTCTTGCAGACATCCCATTCTTTGCCGCCAACTTCACTCGCGAAAATTACAGCGACGTAGACCTGACTCCAAGCGTAACACCATGGGTCATGGTCGGAGGCTCGTACTCTGGCATGCGAGCTGCGTTCACCCGTCATTTGTACCCCGATACAATTTATGCTTCCTACGCTTCCTCCGCCCCTGTGGAAGCGCGGATCGACATGAGCGTCTATTTCGACCAGGTGTATGACGGCATGGTCGCATATGGACACTCTAACTGCACCAGCGACATCAAGGCTGCACTTGAATACATCGACGAGGAACTATCGAAGAGCAAATCGTCCGCGGCGGCCATCAAGCGGAAATTCTTCGGTGAAGGCGCCGAAAAAAACAGTAACGGCGATTTCACCGCCGCGCTCACGATCATCTACTACTATTTCCAGTCTTATGGCATGGAAGGTGGTTTGGGCAGTCTGGGGTCATTCTGCGAGCACATGGAGACCGACCCGAAGACTAGCGCAGCGGCGCCCCCACATGGATTCGCTCCCAGCCGGGGAAAGAAGTACGCCGCGGAGCGATATGCGTCATGGCCGCCTTTCACGCAGCTGGTCAACATGAATTTGGATACCAATTGCAAGAAGCTTGAAGCCAGCGATCCGCTCGTATGCGATCTTGGCGCACCATCCACCGACCCGGACACCATCAGCTGGACATGGCAGTACTGCACCGAATGGGGATTCTTCCAGACCGACAACTTCGGGCCTCACTCGTTGCTGTCCAGATACCAGACCCTCGATTATGCGCAGGAATACTGCGAACGATCATTTTCGGAGGCTGTCAAAAAGGGTCTGTTCCCTAAGCACCCGCAGGTCGACGCCATCAACGCGGAGACCGGCGGATGGACCATTCGTCCGTCCAACGTTTACTGGAGCGGCGGCCAGTTTGATCCGTGGCGCACTTTGTCGCCCCTTGCGGCCGGCACTCGGTTAGCCCCGCAAGGAGTGTCTCTCACGACCGAAATCCCCAAGTGCAATGTTGAGACGGCGGAAAATACGGTCTTCGGCTACATCATGCAGAAGGCAGAGCACTGCTTTGATTTCCGCACGACATTTGTGCCAGGGGCGATTTCCCGAGGATACTTCCGCACAGCGTTGAAGGAATGGCTCGGATGCTTCTAGGCCAAGGCTTGGTAATTGCTAAACCCTGGAAGGTTCAAGCGACGGTCTCTCCCCATTCGACACTATTCCCGTTTCGGATCAGCTTGCGATCTCCGCTTTTTTCACGTGGGAGGC